CACAATGTGACATTGCTGCAGCCTGGAATTGAACTGCTGGTTTCGTCTGGCCAGAGGAGAACTGGCCCCCCGACTGAGCCTGGTTTCTCCCAAGGTTTTTTCTCCATTCTGTCACCAATGGAGTTTTGGTTCCTTGCCGCTGTCGCCTCTGGCTTGCTTAGTTGGGGACACTTCATTTCCAGCGATATCGTTGACTTGATTGCACAAATACTATTAGAACTGAACTGAGCTGGATGAGGACATCACTGAATTCAACGGTGAACTGCCTTTAACTGAAAAATGAGTGTTTACTATTGTCATTTTGCATTATTGATACACTATTTTCCTAATTAATGCTGTACAGTTGCTTTGACAAAATCTGTATTGTTAAAAGCGCTATATAAATAAAGGTGACTTGACTTGACTAGACTGGAAACAAGTTTACATGGGCATTCTCTCACTAAACATACATCAAATAATTCAGTTCAATACTTCATGCAGTTCACAATTTTATTTATAACCTTGTAGTTACATTGTGGCATTTCGCAGTAAGACCGAAGGTAATATTTTGATTCCAAGTTACCAGTAAACTGAACGGCACAATGTCTCCATACAATCGAAATTAGTGTCTACTGCAATATTTGAAACTATAGCAAAGGAGACAGTCAGGTGTGGATACAGGAGACCATGACAAGTATAAAATAAGTGAACAATACAAATAAAAGACATGGCTATGAAGGTGCCATAATCAATTACAACACACATTCAGCTGTGGTGTGAGTGCAGTCTTAATTTCAAACAGATACCTATTTTTTGGTGCTATTTTAAATTGCAGGGCCACTTCTATCAGGTTTAATGGCAAAAGAAATGCATTACATTGATCACAGTTAATGGGCCTTCCTCCAGAGTGAATATGCTGGTGATTTTTAAAATTGCTTCTTTATTCTTTATTTCTTTTTTAAAATTTGCTTCTTGTCACAGTCAGACTTTATTTCCAGAATTTTCTTGAATGATGTTTCAGGAACACACAGAAACACGTGAAAGGTCTCTCTCGAGTGTGAGTCTTCAGGTTTCATTTGACTGAGAAACACTTCGTACAAAATAGTTCTGCCCTGAATGAAATCTCATGTGGGTTTCTGGGTTACACTTTACTTGAAGGGGTGTGCATAAGACTGACATGACACCTACATAATCATGACATGACACATGTCATGAATATTAAGCTTTTTTATGCATGTTTATGACAACTGTCATTAAGTGTCATTCGCTCAGTTATGTAATTTTTAATGCAAAGATGACA